GCAAAGTTGTTGTATTTCCTCAGCAACCAGCACGGATCAGCTCCAGGCATGACGAAGCAGATATCGTCCTCTTTTGGAAGGCCAAACAAAGTAGTTTCGCTTTCACTACGAATCACACAGCGCATTCACGACATGGCGGCGGCAACAACAATACTACAGCGAGAATAAAAGTTACGCCTTCTTTCTTTGCGTGAACATTTGGGCGGCGTTATACAAATCTTCCCACATAGTGACGTAGATATGGGGCGTGTTAGAACAAGCCGGTTTAGGGAGGGGTGGCTGACTCTTTACTTTTATAAAGAATATCTCTTTGGATTTGAGACTTTAGTCTTTGCAACTTTACAGATTTTCTTTATGCACCAAGAGCTTGTAACACTCCAAAGAGAAAGGACAAATTTAAATCGCATCATATGACCCCTTTAAAGTGTATAACATTACTACATTAAGTGAGATGAAATATGAAATTTGACATTGTTGGTAAAAACCGAGTTGTTGCATAGTTGAAGTTATTTAAATATTTTAAATGTGAAATATTTTTTATTATATATAGTAAGTGAAACATTTTTCAATGTTTATTAAACTTTGTTAAACACCTTTGCTGAAGCATTGTCTGTTTTCTTGCAGGTTTTTTTAGTCTGAAAATGTCTTAAATTTTACAATATTAAGCCTTAAAAGTCAAAAAGTCAACAATATAATTGATTGGGTCTTAATTACAACAATAAACGTTAGCATGTTATTTCAGCCATACTGATGTCTGAGAAGGCCATTTTATCTGTCCCACTTTCTGTGGAATAAAGTCCTGGTCAGATGTATCACAGTAGCTGCTTTCTGTCAAAACAAAAGGAAACTTCAACTTAAATGGTTCCTGCAATAATGTGTTAAATTACCCACCATATTCCTGCCTAAATTTAACATTTGCACTGGACAAAATATTTAGCACTGACTTTTATGCTTAACATGAAATTAATTAAAATATGAAATAAATGTCATAAAAACCATTCAATTTGACTTTCTCATGCATGTCAACACATTGTTACAACACTAACGGTATGTTTTAAAACAAATTATAAGTAAACTGTTTGTGTTTCTTGAAAATTATTGCTTCAATTAATTTTTTGCCAGATAGAACCTAATAATTCCAAGCGAAAAGTGTTTTTTTTTAGAATTAGAATGTTCTATCTGCATTTTACCCATTCCAGAAATCCCCATTTAAAATTTGAGAGGATTATGAAATTGTACATTTAGAATACATTTAGGGTCCCTGTCATTTTCATGTTTTAAAGAAACTTGTTCCCCATATAATTTTTGCTATATGGAATGCAAAAACTTTGAAGCTCAATATCTCAAAACTGCTCAGAATGCAGATAGAACCTTATAATTCCAAGGTGACGATACTTTATTGTCTATATTTTATTTTATTTTTTAAACAAAATGCCCTACTAATATACTATTAATATATACACTAACTGTGAACTTGACAAGCATCGCTAAATATACTTCTGAATAACAGTAGCTAAAACAATTCTTTAAAAAAGTACATTTGATTGTATAACTAATATTTCTAATCATGAACTCAAAGCGAGAAGCATGAAACAATATGTTATGAGCATTAGTATTTCTATATCTGCAAAAGCTGCTTTGATGCTGTTAATAAACTGGAATGTTTCCTGTCCCTGAAATCAGTTTCCTGTATGTTTGACTTTGTCACCCCTCTATCTTGTGTGTTTCTCCCCAGTTAAGTGTCTCTATAAGATGGAGGAGGAGTCCTGTTCATCAATGCTGACGTACTTTTAATAAATATGGTGAAAATCATAAATACGCCTTCTGATTAGTCAGTGAGACTTTTTGATGATGTTCTCTCTTCTGTCTAATAAGGTAAAAGTGTATTTGATTGGCTTGTTGTTTGGTGGTTGTGCAGCTTTCTGTATCTGTCTCTCTTGAACCTTTCAGTTCATAGTTGATCAACCAGAGTGTATGATCGGTAAAGATGGAGAACTGTCTAACTCTCATTTTTTTGTCTTCTGTGATCAAACTCGCCACAGCTGGTATGTGCACACTCAGGATCGTTATGTTATAGTGATTGTGATATAAATTGGTCATAATATAATTTATAGTTCCGCTTTTTTATGTGTAGTACTTGCATTAATATAAAAGTGAATTTCTTTCTCTCATGGTCATTTTCTCTGTTCCTCTCTCTTTTGCTGACTTTCATAAAGCCATGACAGATGTGAATAAAATAAAATAAAAAAGTGGTGAAAAATTTCCACTTTAAGGACCTCTGCTTTACCCTCATATCCGTGCATGTGATGAAGCCCTTTCCCTCGCTGTCACAGATCTGGAAAAAGTCCTCTGTTTTGTCCAGCATAGCAATGTGTCCCCATCCTGCCTCTTTAGTCACACTTTTCCATGGCTGCAGCTGCTTGTCATCCTGGTCTGAGCCACTGTTGATGACACATGTTGATCTAACGTGTTCAGTCTCTGACATGATTCCAGCTTACTTTGACTGTCTTCAAATAGGTCAGGATGAAATGCAGGCGAGAGACATGACAGCACAAACTGGATGGACTTTAAAGCTAGATCCAGTATGAGGAATTCTCCTGATTAATTCAGAAGACATAATGCATTGTTGTCTTGTACTGAGTCAATGCTGTGGGTCCCAGCTGGAAGTGCACGAAAAAGCACAACACGTCAGCATGTCAATCCCTTGTGTCTTTAGGAATGTTAAGACTTCTTGAAAAGTGATATGCAGATTACTGGTGTATATGTGTGTGTGTGTGTGTGTGTGTGTGTGTGCGCGCATCGGAACAGATTTACAAGCCTTGAGCTTAAACTTCAGGCTCACTTCAGCTTTGAGTGAGAACTGTAAAAACTAAACATTTAATGTTTAATTGAACACTTGAGTACTTTAACTCTATGCAGTAAAATTATAAATGTTGCTAAATGCAATTGAGTAAAATTATGTATGGGAATGTAAAGATTAAGGAAAACTCTAATTTTCACATACATATAAATGTAGTTATATTTAGTTCAATGAAAAGTGATTGAACATTTGTTAGTGCGCATCTACAAAGCCACAGTTGGCGACATCAGTCAGCAGCAGTGTTGCCAACTTAGCAATTTTGTTGCTAAATTTAGCAACATTTCAGACTACCCTAGCAACTTTTTCTTCCAAAAGCACCTAGCAACAAATTTAGCTATTTTTTTTTTTTTATTTGGCTACTTTTAGCAACTTTTGATAAGTGACTCAAACAATAAAAAGGCACACATTTTCCATCTAAATTTCACAAACAGAGGAAACCAAAGATGCCTAGAAGTACATACATCACATGAATTAAGTTATTGCTATTTGCAGTTGTTCAATTTGATAATAACAATAATAATTTAATAATTGTTCATTTATGATACACCTTGTTAGTAGCTTGTACATGTGATTGTTGATCAGTTAGTACACTGTAAGAAAAATATCTAGAAAAAAGGTACAAGTAATTTTCCAGGACATTATCCATTATCCATTATCCATTATCCGTTGTAACCATGTAACCTGAAAACACAAAATACAATGCATAATTTAAAATGCAGGTAAAAACCTGTGATTTATTTTCTTAGAGTGGCGCATACTGACTACTAATACACTGCTTAAAACTATAATTGTTCAGAATTTGTAGTTTTACTAGTTTACTAGCTAATAAAAAAACTTGTAATTGTTAAAAAATGTAATTGTTCAAAAGTGTTCAATGTTGTATATAAAAATAGTTATATATATTTAGTATATATATACTATATATAGTATATTTTAACATTATATTATGCATTTATAATATTTTACGCTAAATTAACATATAAAATATATTTTTGCTGAGATTTGATGTAGTGGCACAATTTTGCGTCGTGATTACGTAATGACGTCATCGCGCAATGACATCACAACGTCATTTAGCAACTTTTAGCAACAAATCGACCTTCCTTTAGCAACTTCCCCTGAAAATCAGCTGCCAACACTGGTCAGCACTCAGCAGACCTGTCGCTTGATGTCCCACCACCACAATGACAAGGGGGGAAAGGAAGTCCTGTCCTGTTTGAACAGAAGTTGAACTGGCTAAGGTTTGTAAGAAGGGTTATCAAGTATTTTCGATTTATATTTAAGCATAAACCAGACAGTTAAAATGATTCTGCTGAACTTGGTTGACAGACAGATAAGGTTGACGCACATCATGCTCCTCTATGTTTAGTAATAGAAGTTGAATGCCAGTGCTCTGTATAATTTGTGACATTAAACTAAATACATGAAATACTGGATTCATGAAGCTTCAAACTAAAATGACATGCAAACGAAGTTCTTATAGTGAGAAATTGGTATAATGAAAATACAGAATTACAGCTCTTACCTGAACAATAAAACAAGTATTTTACTCTTCCAGGTCTGTGGCTACAATAATGTTAGTATTAACTTGTTTCATTAAATCCAGTAAATTAAGTTTGTGGAGAGAGACCGTTAATGCTCGGAGAGGAGGAGGAACTTGTTCAGCTGGAGGTCAGAACAGGACGTTTCTATAGTGACACAGAAGTATGGGATGAAATGAGTCTCAAATTTACTAACAAATGCATGCACAATTATCCTTGAACTTGATAAATGTTCCAAATGTATCGTACTATCCACAACCAAATGTCTGTCATCTTGTGTCTGTAAAATTCAGAATTACATGAATGTGCAGCGGTTTGTACAAATAGAAACAAGGACTGAAATGCTCCAGGAAAGCTCTTTTCATGCTGAGCTAATCAAAATGACCACAGCTGATCACAGATGAAAGTCAAATGGCTTTGTGTTTTGGGGGGGATTCTTTTCTATACCCACAGTATATATGCTACAAACAGGCAAGAGATAAAAAAGATGGAAAACCTGTAAATTCCCCTCTTATTATATTATATTATTTAAACTAAATACTATTGCAATAATATTAATCTAATGTAAAATAAAATGTATTTAATCATATTTATCATCATATTAATGATGATGATGATTTTTCTTATTCATATTTTTATTCATATTTATTATTATTACCGGTATTATAAATTATATTAATATATTCAAATTGTTTTAAGTCGTGCTGCAGCCCCCTTTGTAAGTTTGTTGTTCTAGGGAAAGATTTTAACACAAAAAAATCATGTTCTTTTTTTTCATTTAAAAAATCCAAGAAGTTTTATAGTTTTTATGATTAGAGAAATTAACAATTTATGTCCAGATAAAATGTTCACCAGTGAGAGGCTCCCTCATGTGGTGACACAAGACTCTTGTTTGCTCGTTTTTAAAATAAGTGCTTTGCT